GGGTCCTCTTACTCAGGATCCTGTGTTTACTACTGTGTCTACTCACGCGGGTCTATTGCCATCTCAACACCACGTGGCTAACACCCAAGGGCATCGGTAGAGCTGCCCCTGTGGGTTTCAAAGATGAACCCTTCAGGAGAGTAGAAAGCCTCCTCTTCCCCCAGGGGAGCAACTGGTAGATTCAAACTGCTCACCTCGCAGTTAGCAGCCCAACACATAACCAAAATGCTGCCAGATTCCCTAGCGCAGGTTTGGTTGAGCTCCATGGTTTCAGAGCTGCCCACATCTGACTGTGTGGCACGGACACAGAGGAAGGGGAACCAGGAACCACGCCCCCTCCTGAGGTGGAACTTGCAGGAGAGTCTCCGAGAAGAGGTAGACCCAGATCCCACCCACCCACACCCTGCCCCACCCCTGTCCTGAAGACCCTCAGGGAGGGGCCCACTCCACCCACCCACTTACTTCCAGGTGCCGTTTCTGAACATGGAGCGGACGCTCCAAGAAGAGCCGAAGATGTTGAGGGACTTGGAGAAGCAGTCGTTGTAGATGAGGCCCGTGTAGATGGAGAAGACCCCCATGAGCAGGAGCAGGTAGCGTCCGTGGAAGAAGGTGTTCCAAATCTGGTTGCGGAGACGAGAGGGCGGTGGGCAGGGGCCGCAGGCCGGCAGCCCCCAGAGCAGCCCAGAGCCAGTCACACCCATCACACCGGAGACTAGAACCTGGGAAGTTCCTTTTCCACAGTGGGTGATGGCACTGGCCACACCCTCCACCCCAGGGCCAGCCGGCACCTGAGCCACGTGGTTTCGTCTTCAAGCGCTTTGAAAGCAGCCCAAAGAAAGGAGCGGCCTTTCACCATGAAAGGCTGCCTAGTTCGCACGCGCACAGACAGGGGTCCAACACCTGCCGGGCACAGGTAAGCTCTGCAGTGAGCCTGTCCCCACACGCCTGTCACTTTCCCATTCTGCGTGGCTTGTCTGTCACTGCGAGGCTGTGGCACTGGTATGTCCCAGGCCAGCAGGGTCACCCAAAGGGAACCGGTTTCAGCAGAGCTGCCAGATTAAGAAGAGACTGTGAAGAAGGGCAAGGCTGTCCACTTCAGAGGGACTGGCCGCTGGAAACCCGATGGGCGGCAATACAACACGGTCAGTTACTGACCCATCGGGAAGAGCAGCAACGCCTTGTCAGAGATGAGCCCCCCAGGGTGGAAGGCACTCAATGTACGATGGGGGGTGGGGAGAGCTGCCTTCTCAGAACAGACCAGAGTGTGGACGGAGGGACATCTTTAGACACGACCCACAACCCACTGCCCTTGGTCCATGCTGACTCAGAGTGACCCTGTAGGACAGGGAAACTGCTCAAGGGGTTTCCAAGACTGTGAGTCAGTACAGAGCAGACAGCCTCATCTTTCTCCCTGGGAGCAGCTGCTGGGCCTGAACCATTCACGTTGCGATTCACAGCCCACTGCGGCCTAACCCACAATGCTACCAGGCTCCCTCAGTGACCCTGAAGGACAGAATGCCCCGTGATGCTCAGGTTTTCTGAGCCTGTAAATCTTTTCAGCAGCAACCTGCCACATCCTCCTATGCTGTGTGTGACTGGTGGGTTTGAACTGCCGACCTTGAAATCTGCAGCTGAGCCCTGAACAACTGAGTCATGGGGCTCGTCTGCTGTCATGAGGACCACAATGCCCTGCCACCCGTCAGAACTCTCAAGACTGAGCCTGCCCACCTTGCTGCAGAGGGATTTTACTCAGACAGGGAAGCCCGACCTCTGTCCCTCTTCCCCCAATACCTCTGCCTTCTTGCCTTTCTGACAGGTGCCATGTGCCGCCACCTTTGGGGGCTCTCCTGTGTCAGCCCAGCCCCCGTGAACAGCTTGTGGGGCAACACTGCCATCTTGTGACCAACTCTTTCCTTGTGCCCCGCAGCCCTGCCACTTCCCCCGCTTCCAAGCTCCTATCAGTGGCCCAGGTAAGTTCTAGACCTGGGAGTGTTCCTGTGGAATCCAGGACACCAGGGCCACGTGCCACTCGGATGTGAGATGTGGGCACAGGGAGGGTCTGCGTGGGGGAGAGGACAGGCTCTGGGAGCTTGCTGTGTGACCTGCACTTTTCTCTAACCCTAAAACTGCTTCATCAAAAGCCCCGATCCAGAATCGCACACAGGTCTTACTTAAAACGCGGCAGAAGCCGGGGGCCTCGAGAGCCCCGCCCCCACACTTTGCCTTAAAGTTGAAAGCAAGTTGCTCCGAGCAGCCAGAGACATGCCCTGCTGGAGAGTGAGGCAGGGACCGCCGGACACCAGGACCTGCCCTGCCCTCCGGGCACGGCCCCCAGTCCTGTGCTGGAACATGCTCCCTTCCAGAGCTGCTGCCTCCCTCCCTCACCTGACATGTGGGACGAGCTGTTACCTGTTACCTGGGGCAGAGCGGACTCCGACTTGTGACCGCCCCCTATGTTAAGGTGACCAGACTTTAACACTGGTGAAGCGGGACACCATGGATAAAACTCATATCCTGGCGAAACAGCCACATGGCAGCCGAAAACCGTATACCCTAGCTTGTCGTGCGTTCTTTCCAAATATCGGGACTTTTTGAAAACGCCGCAGGACACGGGAAAAATTGTTAAGAATTGGGACTGTCACACCAAAAGCGGGATGTCTGGTCACCTTACCCGACGTGCATCAGGATGGAACTGCAGTCTAGGGGCTTGTCAGTGCCTGGGTTTGTGTATGGAAATCACCAGGCCTTTCTTCCAACGCACCTTTGGGGGTGAGCTCAAACCCAGCGGCCAGGCTGGTTCACTGCTGACACTGCCATGGCCTCCCGGGCCCCACGATGCACCTTTAACTGAGGCCAAAGCCCACGGCCATCAGTGAGCTAGCTCC